TGTGGCATCTTGCCTTGAGGGCGTAACTCAAAACCATTTTCAAGTAAGGACATGATTAATTTGCTTAAGTGCCAACGCGTGAGTCTTCAAAGGTCGAGCTACGACAGAAGGCGAAATTAACATTATTCATAAAAAATACAAAACAAACAAAAACATGTGAGCCGAACTACGGTAACTCTGATTCTTCAAAAAGGATACGTAAGCATTGAGGTAGGGCCCAAGTGAGTACAACTTTATTTTCTATTTTCTTTTGCATGCATTCTTCCTCAGTAGTAAACAATAAGCATAGATTAAACACACCCATAAGATAGATAATAAGAGTTGATTTCGTAGAGTACTACAGGTGTGTGGGGTGCTAATACCTTCCCCTCGCATAACAGACTCCCTTACCCGATCTCTCGGTCACAAGACCGCGACTTCTCCCTTCTCAAGTTTTCTCGATGTTTATATTTCCCTTCATGTGGGATAAAAGACGTTTGATACCGACTTTATTGTTTGATGACTTTCAGCCGGTTGTTTCAACATGGTTATTACGTTTTGATTGCTTGACATGAATTTTATGTGGAAGACTTGTTTCATAAACATGTCTAAATGATAAGGAAGTGATAAACATAACACTCTTGGTTATGCAATTCAACATGTAACCTTGTACCTTGGTTACTTCTTTGAAAAATTTGGTTGATTATGTGAATGGTGGTATAGAAACTCTTGCTCTTGCATTACTTTGATTGAGGACAAACAAAGATTCAAGTTGGGAGTTTGATGAATGCTTGATTCATGGAAAATATCACATTATAACATAGCATTTATCTTACTTACATGACATGTTTCTTACCGAAAAAGCCCCAATTATTGAATAAAAGTGGTTTGTAAGAGTTTACTTGGGTTTGGTTTGTATTTGTATAGGTTATTGCCCTTAAAGAAAAACCAAAAAATAGACACTTCACTAAGCGAAAGTTACAGCAAACTCAGTTTGCTTATCGAACTTCCAACGAACAAAGACAGAAGCAAATCAGCCAATTTCACCAGCAACGAGGAGCAGCGAAGCAAGTTCGCTTAGCGATCCAGGCCTTTGCATAGAGAACTGTGGCAATCTAAGAAGATATTTTGAAAATACTTAAGGATGAAGAAAGGAACTTCACTAACCAAACTACATTTTCCTTAGAGAACTTTGGCGGTTTTTTGAAGACAAGTTGATTTGAAAACTTAATGAAGAAGCAAGTCTTCGCTTAGTGAAGTCAGGCGGCTAGAACTACTATAAATAGGACAGAACTCAGCTCAGTTTGAGGGATTCAGTTTTTACCTTATAATACACTATATTGCTGTAATAGAAGTTGGAATAAAAGAGGTTTTAAACATAAGGGTTGGATATGCATCATGAGTCGAGAAATCGTTGTTGATGTCATTTCAACTCAAACTTTCCATTGTTCATCAAGCTATCATGTGTATCTAAATCCCTCTCTTGTTGGGATTGGTCGTAGTTCACCGAACAACATGTATCTTCTTTGATCGTGGCGTTATATGCAATTTATGTTTGAATCATTATTGATGTTATCTTTGTTTTACCGTTTATTTCATGGATTGAATTGATATTGACAAATATGATTCTAATCTCGACCTAAGATAACATCTATTAAACTCTAAATTCTAGACAAAGGTTTAGGTTTAATATTTACTATAAGTATTGAATCGTAACGCTACCGTACTTATTGTTTAATAGACTGAGAAATCATCGATTAAACCATAAGGTAGAATTCTCAGCAAATGTTTTGACATAAACTTTATTTGTGAGAAATACGCGATGATATAGAAACATGCTTAAATTGTGTATAACTAACTGATATGAGATTTGCATATTGAATCAGTGAATGAAAACCAATTTCCAACAAGTCTATTCCTCTGAAACTTATCTTTATTTATTTTTTGCGTTTACTTTTCGTAACTTATAAATCAAACAATCTTGAAACTTATGCTTAGATTTATAGAGAATATTGAACGATTTTGACATGTGGATACAATAATACACAATACTTACATTTGATTTTACTCAATACCAATCTCACACACACACAAGTGATTGAATAATTCATATCATCGATTAAGGGAGGGGAATAAAGATGATACTTAGCATAATTTATTGATTTGTGAGTAATTTTTAAATTATGGTTTCTCTATTATAGTTAGTTTTCATGTTTTACCAAATACTAATTATGCTCGCATTCATTCAATGATCATTTGTAATTGATCATCGTCTCTCTTCAAAGAACATGATAATTGCGCTATGTTCGTTAGGCAAACTAGTTGAACCAAAGATGAAACATATTCTTTCCACGTAAGTTTATATTTATGATACTCTTAGTAATATTTTCTTTGATTTTGTAATTAACTTAGAGTGTAATATGTTTAAATCCTTTTCAATATATAGAGTTGTTGAGCGAAACCATATGTTGAACGAAGCTCGACACCATATGTTGAACGAAACTAGAAATAAAATCTCGCATTTTGTATGCCTTCAGTAAGTGGATTACTTGTGACATTCATTTATCTATAGTTACATGCATGTGTGATTATATATTCATGAAATATTTAAATTTGTAGGCGAGACAACATAAAGGAGGATATAATTGTGGTTTTTTTTGTCACAAAACACATATTAAATATTGTCTCTATCGACATTATATATATATATATATATATATATATATATATATATATATATATATATATATATATATATATATATATATATATATATATATATATATATATATATATATATATATATATATATATATATATATATATATATATATATATATATATATATATATATATATATATATATATATATTATAACATATTAATGTATTAAGTTTTCTATTATATCAAATCATGTGATCCAATTTTCTTCACCCTTTTATATATATGTTTAACGATACTACACCATTTTCACAAGAAGACTTTAGGGTCTGCTTGGTTCAAATGAAGGGGAAGGGAGGAGAGGAATTTTAATGGAGGGAAGGGAAGGGGAGAGGAGGTGAGGTTTTTTTTTATAAAAATTATATATGTATTTGGTTCAAAAGAGGGGAAGGGGTGAGATTTTAATTAAAATTATGTTTGGTTCACAAGGGGAGGGGAGGAATTTTATTAATAATTTTATATTTTTATCCTTCTGATCTTATATATGTCATATGATATCCAAAGGTGAAAATTCGTAAATATCTTTTGATAATAAAATATGCATAAATAATTAAACATAATTTTTAATTTTGATTGATTAAAAAGTTATAATTTACTATGTAATGTTAAAAAAGTTGAGTACACTTGATTCAAATTATAACTCTCCGACACAAATTAAGTTATGTGTTGTTAACAATTTTTACATTATGATGAACCATCTAAAAAAATACATAATATAATAATGTAATTGACAAAAAAAAAGGTTTAAATTTTGATATAAAAGAAAATACAATAAAATACATATTAAAATTAGGGAAAACAAACATAAATAAAAATAAAAATAAAAAATTATTAAAAAACAAAAAATGTAGTGATTATAATATATATTAAATATATTATTAAAAAGTAAATTGAAAATGGATAAAATTATAATAAATTGATAGAAGCTACAAAGAAAAACACACAAAAGAAAAGCATCGACGAAAAAGAAAATAAATAGTTCTGAAATGCTAAAATAAAATTGAGGATATTTTAGTAAATTTAAAAGAAATTTAAATAATAAAAATGACCTCCCCTCTCTTCCCTTTCAAATTTCTCTGATTTGGAGGGACGCAAAAAATGTGTTTTCGAGGGATTTTGTTCCTCTCCCCTCATAAAATTTGAACCAAACACATTTAATTTAAAATATTTCATCCCCTCCCCTCCGTATACACCGAGCCAAACACACCCTTAAGGACATTCGTACACATTAGACGTTTTGCTTCAATGCATTTTATGGCTAGGGTGATCACATATGAGCTTGTAATATATGTTTGCTATATTTTTGGGTTTGATGTAAATAATATTTAAATTGGTTTAACATTTTGGTAGTATAGCAATATTTTGATTACAAAGATATGTGTATTTTCTAGTTCTATTGTGATAAAAAATATCGTATAAAATACAGGTACTAAAAAAATAAAGATAGATATATATAAAATAAAATAAATTATTAAAAAATAAATCAATATTTCACCATGATTCATTAAATTGACCGTGATGGTAGGTAACACGTCAAATATTATATACCATATAATAGGTGAGCATCAAACCCATAACTTTTATATATTTCACAACGGTTGTTTAACATAATCATTATGATAAGTAGCGCGCTATCTAATTTATCATTATAATCAAACCCTCGTGGTAGAAAATAACATACTTACTACAATATCCTCTATCTTACCATAGTTGGTTAATCATGATGGTATCCTTTTCTAATCATAATAAAAG